ACAGACGGCTCTGGTGCGACAACGTGGCTACCGGGAATGAGTGCCCCGGAGTACAGGAGTAACAGGCTCCGCGGCTAATATGCGCGGCAGGAGCAACGGACCCACAGGCGACGGCGCAACCGGCTCTCTGAGCTACCGGGAATGAGTGCCCCGGAGTACAGGCGCTGCGTACGACACGACGGCAACCTCCGCTCAACCTCCCCCAACAGTCCCACACCCCTCGACACACACCCCCTGCTGCGCCCCTAGCTCCACTCCCCCTTCACCCCCCTAGGACCACTCCTTCGGCTCCCCACACAACCACCCCCCTGAGCGGCAGCTGCAGCAGCGGGAGACGGAGGAGGAGGAGAAGGAGGGGACGGGGCACACAACCGGCACCCCCACACCCGCCACCCCCACACTCTACATCCCCAAACCCTAAAACGGGTGGGATAGGGGCAGGAGCGCGGGGGACGGCGAGAGGGGGACGGACGAGGCGCGCGCAGGCTGCCCGCGCCGCGCGCTGGCCTGGCGCAGCCCGTACGGGCCGCGCGCGGGCCTGGCGCAGCCCGTACGGGCCGCGCGCGGGCTGTACGGGCCGCGCGCGGGCCTGGCGCAGCCCGTACGGGCCGCGCGCGGGCCTGGCGCAGCCCGTACGGGCCGCGCGCGGGTCCCAGGGGCGCTTCGACGGGCGACGGGGGCGTTTTGGCGGGCGACGGGGGGCGCTCCGACAGGCGACAGGGGCGCTTCGACGGGCGACGGGGGGAGGGCGCTTCGACGGGCGACGGGGGCGTTTCGACGGTGGGAAACCGCCGCGCGCCTCGGGGCGCACGGCGTGCAGAAAACCGCCGCGCGCCCCGAGCGCACGGCGGGATGAAAACCGCCGAAACCCTAGAAAAAATTCGCCGGGATGAAAACGGCAGGAAGAAGTCGTCGCGCTCCCGAGGCGCCCGGCAGGAAGTAAAGCAGCGGAAGCATTAGGTGGTGGGCCCACCCACAGGATCGACCCAGGAGGGTCGACCTGCTCTGATAGCATGTCAAAGTTAGCTGTAGAAAGTAAGAATGAAGAAAGGAGGGTTTGCACTAGCAACAATGGTGGTACAAATAGCTAACCCTAGAAGGGTTGTACTCGCTATAGAGCACCCCACTGCAGGCTAGAGCATAATATTCTGACAGCATGCGCAATTCACGCACAACAAACGCCATAGATATGTGCCTGCTGGGGCGGCAAAAAGGGCATAGGAAAAGCAGAACTGCAGGAAAAAAACAGAGGGTTTCGGGTTAGAGATAAAAAAAAGGAATAGGGAGAACGAAACGTGGACGCACGGAGAGCGCTGATACAGCGAAACGTGCGGAACGGTAGGGTGTTGGGAGATGCCCTTGTCTCTCGGGAGGTTGGTCCTGCGACTGTCCCTGTACAGGTCTCTGGTTCTGGGGGTGCTGGAGTTGGAGCTGAGCCGCGGGTTGCAGAGGACTCTTGTCTTCCGGGGGCTGGTACTGGTCGTGCGGAGTCTGGGGGTGCTGGTGCGGAGTCTGGGGGTGCTGCGTCTGGGGGTGAGGGTGTCCCTTCGGTTTCTAGAGAGCCTGGGTCTGGAGCTGGTGTTGGTGCTGCCTCTGGGGGTGGTGTACTTGGTGCTTCGGAGGTCGACTCTGGGGCTGCCGCTGCCCCGGACACTACTCCTTCCCCCCACCCCTACCCGACCAGGTTCCAGGCTCGTGTTCGCCGTGCTCGTGAGGAGCAGCTGGAGTTGGAGAGAGAGGAGAGAGAGTTGCAGCGGCTCGAGGAGCAGGAGCGACAGCAGCAGGAGCAGCAGCAGGGGCAGCAGCCGCTGGAGCAGCAGCAGCCGCAGCAGCCGCAGCAGCAGCAGCTGCCGTCTCCTCCTCCTGTCTCGGGTCTTCGGACCCTTGGTCTCCCCTCTCCCTCTCCTTCCTCCTCCCCCTCTCCTCCCGTCTCTGGTCCTCCGCTTCCTCCTCCTGACCCCTCTCCCGCTGTTTTCCCTCGTTCTCAGTCTTCGTTGTCTCCTCCTCCTTCTCAGACTTGGGCCTCTCGTCGCTCCCCTCGTGCTCGTCCCTCGTCTCCTGTTCCCTTCACTGACCTTCGTACAGCCTTCCTTTGTTCTCGTCCACCTCGTCCGTCTCCGTCTGTGCTTCCGTCTCCTCCTGAGTCGGCCCTCACTGTGTCGCTTCCTTCTCCTGTCACTGACTACTACCGCACGTACCGTCCTGTTCTCTCTCGTGTTCTCGCCTCTCTTGTTACCCACCCTCGTGCCTCTGTGTCCTCTGTGTCCGCTCTTACTGCCGCAGTCACTGAGTTTGCCTCTACCCGCCGCCTTGACTTCGCCACCGCTCTTGTGGCTGCTCCTCCTTCCAGTCCTCTGGCCGTCGGGGGTGTGTCTGCCCTTGGCTGTGACGCCCTAGAGGACAGGCAGTTTGAGCTAGAGTTCCTGGCGGCCGCTTCCCCTCATCTCTGTGCCATGCTCCTCGCCCCTGAGGGTGACCCCGACGCCCTTGACATTCCGACTCCTCGCACTTACGCTGAGGCAGTGTCAGGGCCTTGGGCCTCTCAGTGGAGAGCTGCCATGGACGCAGAGATGGCCTCCTACAGATCCACAGGCACCTACGTCGATGAGGTTCCCCCTCCGGGGGCGAACGTAGTCGACGGCATGTGGATCTACAGGGTGAAGCGGCCACCGGGATCTCCTCCGGTCTTCAAGGCACGCTACGTGGCTAGAGGTTTCAGTCAGCGCGAGGGAGTTGACTTCTTTCAGACCTTCGCGCCCACCCCGAAGATGACCACTCTTCGGGTGTTACTACACGTAGCAGCACAGAGAGACTACGAGTTACACTCTCTCGACTTCTCTACTGCTTTCCTTCAGGGCAGTCTTCACGAGGAGGTCTGGTTGCGTCGTCCCTCTGCCTTCACTGGCTCTTTCCCTCCTAGGACCCAGTGGAGGCTGAGGCGACCGGTTTACGGTCTTCGTCAGGCTCCTCGTGAGTGGCACGACACCCTGCGTTCTACCCTGTCTGACCTTGGGTTCCAGCCGTCTTCTGCTGACCCGTCGCTGTTCGTTCGTCGTGGCCCCACACCTTTCTTTGTTCTGGTCTACGTTGACGACCTTGTTTTCGCCACCCCTGACAGGGTTGCTTTGGCACACGTGAAGTCCGAACTGCAGAAGAGACACACCTGCACTGATCTTGGTGAGCTGCGCCACTACCTTGGCTTGCAGATCACCAGGGACAGAGCTGCTCGCACCATTACACTTTCACAGTCCCACATGGTGCAGCAGGTCCTTCAGCGGTTCGGGCTTCAGCACTCCACAGTACAGCGCACACCTCTTGCTGTTGACCACAGACTCACTGGACCCTTTCCTGACGAGCCGTTCGAGCCTAGTGGTCCCTACGCAGAGCTTGTGGGTTGCCTCATGTACCTGATGACTTGTACTCGCCCGGACCTCGCCTTCCCTCTCAGCATCCTTGCGCGCTTTGTTGCGCCAGGGAGACACCGTCCTGTTCACTGGACAGCAGCTGTGAGGGTGGCGAAGTACCTAGCGACGACGTCAGGCGTGGGGCTAGTTCTTGGAGGGCAGCAGTCTGTCGTACTTACTGGTCACTGTGACTCCTCTTACGCTGACGACGCTGAGACTCACAGGTCTACTCAGGGGTACTGTTTCAGCCTAGGTTCTGGAGCTGTTTCCTGGCGGTCCACGCGCTCCTCTTCGGTCTCGACCTCTACAGCTGAGGCTGAGATCTACGCTGGTGCCATGGCGGCACAGGAGCTGCGTTGGTTGACCTTCTTGCTCACCGACCTTGGTGAGCGGCCGAGCTCTGCACCGACCTTGTTCACTGACAACAAGGCGTCTATTCTCCTTTGTCGAGAGCCACGACTGGAGAGCAGAGTGAAGCACATTCACGTCAGGTACTTTCTTCTGCAAGAGTTGCAGAGGCGTGGACAGGCTCGCTTTGAGTTTGTGGAGTCCGAGGCCAACACTGCAGACATCTTCACCAAGGCGCTTCCGCCTTGTGACCACCAGAGGTGCTGTGTGCAGCTAGGCCTTGTTGACACTGGTTCTCGTGTTGCTTAGACTTGAGTGTACTGTTTACTTTGCTTTCTATATACCTCTGTTACTTCTTGGACTGGCCTTGTGGCCACTGTTGTTTGTGCTCAGACTGTGTGGTGACGTTGTGATCCACCCTGAGCTTCGTTTCTTGGACTGGTCTTGTGACCGTACTCGTTTGGTTCTGCTAGACACCCCTCACTTAGGCTATGGGGGTGTGTCAAATGTTGTAGCCTATAGTGAGGTTTGTCTTAGGGGGTACAAAACTTAGGGTTAGCTATATGTACCCCAACCAACATCAATGCATCATCCATTCTTCATTCTGACACTTAGGACCGATTATTGCTCTGTACCATGTTAGAATAGTAGCTAGAGAGAGCCTTAGGGTTTGGTGGGAGAGAGTGTTGGCCAAGCAAAGAAAAGGGCGTTCACTATAGGCTCGAGGGTACAAATAGGAGACAAAGGAGGTGCACCACCAATACAAAGAGTTTATAACTACACTAAAGCTACAGCTACAGGCAGGTACATAAATATATATAAATATATATTCTAACAGTCTTATATCCGGGCGATGACGGTAGAAACTGCTAATGTTCCTCCTACAATTCAATGTCTGTCATCACAATCTCATGTCCATTTTCCCTTGAATTTGTGATCCACGGCACACCCTTGGAGATTGTGAAAGTGAGTGGCCCGTCCCTAGGCAAACTTCAAATCCTTCAAAGAACGGGCCACTGGTGCAAGGACTTTCATTGGAAGATCCCTATGCAACACAACTTTTGGCACGTACCACCACCTGCAAAATTCGGTAAGGCTATACACAGTACATGATAAACACACACACATTTACCGGTACATTTATTGGGCTGAGGTGAAGCCCTAGGGTCCTAGGGAAAAGGCAGCACCCAAATGTGCCAAGCAATCAACCACGCAAAGTGATAGCCCACCACCATGCCCCAGAAAACATCAGCTCTGCTTCTTCCCCTTCCTCTCCACTGCCCTCCGCTGGCCTGTCCCACTAACCCGAGCCGCCGCTGCCATCGCCTCTGCCTCTGCCTCCCCTGCCGTCATATCCTCCCTCCTCTTCCTCAGCCCAGCACCACTCTTACCACCACCATCCCCCTTTCCACCACTCCCACGGTCCCCCCCCTCTCCCTCCTCCCCTTCGCCCGCCAACCCGGCGATTTCCTGCTGGCGGCGTGCAGCAGCAGCGACAAAGGCGGGGTCGGGGTGGGGCTGGTCGGCGACAGGGGAGTCGCGCAGCGCGAGGACGATGTAGACGGCGATTACGGCGTTCACGCTCAGCACCGCCGCCAGCCCCGCCCACAACGTCGCGTCCACCGGCGGCGCCGACGGGTCGGAACGCGCGAGGACGGCCCAGAGGGACGCGGGGACGAAGCCTGTGGGGGAGCGTGGGAGGGTGGGGTGTTGGAGGATGGAGCGCGAGGTGCGGACGTTGAAAAGCAGAGAACGCGGAATCACATGTATGGAGTGCGAGGAGTGCTGTACTGAGGGGAGGTCGACCATAGGGTGGTTGATACTCTCTTGGCCGCAGCTGGGAAGCGCGCGCGAGAGAGGCGAAGCGGCGAAGGAGTGGAGGGCTTACGCTGGAGGAAGGAGAGGTCTTGCTTGACGGAGAAGAGCACGGCGAGCGGCAGCACCCACATGGCCACTGACGTCACCGCGAAGCGCACCCACACCGCGCCTGGCGAGTGCGTCTTACCAGATACCTGGTGCCGCGGCGGCGGCGGCCGCTGCTGCTGCTGCCGTGCCATCGCGATCTTTCCTACAAGCGCTGTCAAATGTTGCTACGTGAGGGGAGGAGGGATATGGGAGCTAAAGCTTGGAGTAAAGCTAAGGCAACTACGATGACGGGACGTTGACTAGGTAGATCTCTTCGAAGCAAAATTTAAAACCCGCGTCTCATTATTCCTACCGTATTACACTTGGTTGGCAGTTGGCACCTGGGATTGGTGCACGAGCAGCGAACTTATGCACGAGAGGAGGGGGTGATTTGGGCGAAACCCAAACACTGTACCCTCAACACCAAACCTACTACCCTAACCTGTTGACACACCCAAACCAGGGTTACAGGTTTGTCAAGTTTTGACACCCCCTGCGACAAACCCATACGACGGAAACGGCACACATTTTCAGGAGCAGTCATTCCCCTCAAGCACATCGTCATCATCCACACCAACCCCTTCCCGCATGCTAGAATAACACAGCGTCGTCTCAACCGATTGCCTCGTGAAAGACTCTCACATCTAGCTACAATATCTCCCATGTCGGGGGGTGCGCATAATTTGCCTCGCCAGTGGAATGTCGGAATCCTCCGCTTCCGTTGCGGATCGAGCATACGTGGAAAGGGCGAGAGTAAAACAATGCGCGCGAATCGCACCCCTTATCACACCCGCCTCCCCCAATGCTTCCCGCGCATTCGCCTCCACGGTATCGCACCCCCAATACCACGCCTTCCCTTCCCGTCGCCTTCCTTTCCCGTCGCCCTCCCTTCCCGTCGCCCTCCCTTCCCGTCGCCCTCCCTTCCCGTCGCCCTCACTTCCCGTCGACCGCGCTTCTTCCCGCCGCACTCCGTTCCTCCCCTCTCGCTCCGTTCTTCGCGTCGCCCTCCCTTCCGCTCGTCCCCTCGCTTTCCCTGTCTCCCTCTCTCCCCGTCGCCCTTGCAATCCGTGACTTCCTCTCTCCCCGTCGCCCTTGCAATCCGTGACTCCCTCTCTCCCCGTCGCCCTTGCAATCCGTGACTCCCTCTCTCCCCGTCGCCCTGCCATCCACTGCTCGTCGCCCTCGCCTTCCATCCCGCCTCCCTTCCCATCTCGCAAACGTGTCACCATAATCCCTGTTTTTCCCCCACTTATACCCCTTCCCGCCTTCCCCCTATCCCCTTCCCTGCTTTCCCCCATCCCGGTTCGCCCCTTCCCTGCATCCCCCCATCCTCTGCATTCTCTCCTCTTATCCCAAGCCCTGCTTCCCCCCATCCACATTTCTGCTCCCCCCCCATGTCCCCGTCCCTGCTTCCTCCCCTCCCCGTCCCTGCTTCCCCCCATCCGCATTTCTGCTTCCCGCCCTCCCCGTCCCTGCTTCCCCATGTCCCCCCCCCCTTCTTCCCCCCATCCCCTTCCATGCGCACCCCCATTCCCTGCCCTGCTTCCCCCCATTCCCTGCCCTGCTTCCCCCCATCCCCTGCCCTGCTTCCCCCCATCCCCTGCCCTGCTTCCCCCCATCCCCTGCCCTGCTTACCCCCATCCCCTGCCCTGCTTCCCCCCATCCCCTTCCCTGCTTCCCCCCATCCCCTTCCCTGCTTCCCCCCATTCCCTGCCCTGCTTCCCCCCATCCCCTGCCCTGCTTCCCCCCATCCCCTGCCCTGCTTCCCCCCATCCCCTGCCCTGCTTACCCCCATCCCCTGCCCTGCTTCCCCCCATCCCCTTCCCTGCTTCCCCCCATCCCCTTCCCTGCTTCCCCCCATCCCCTTCCCTGCTTCCCCCCATCCCCTTCCCTGCTTCCCCCCATCCCCTTCCCTGCTTCCCCCCATCCCCTTCCCTGCTTCCCCCCATCCCCTTCCCTGCTTCCCCCCATCCCCTTCCCTGCTTCCCCCCATCCCCTTCCCTGCTTCCCCCCATCCCCTTCCCTGCTTCCCCCCATCCCCTTCCCTGCTTCCCCCCATCCCCTTCCCTGCTTCCCCCCATCCCCTTCCCTGCTTCCCCCCATCCCCTTCCCTGCTTCCCCCCATCCCCTTCCCTGCTTCCCCCCATCCCCTTCCCTGCTTCCCCCCATCCCCTTCCCTGCTTCCCCCCATCCCCTTCCCTGCTTCCCCCCATCCCCTTCCCTGCTTCCCCCCATCCCCTTCCCTGCTTCCCCCCATCCCCTTCCCTGCTTACCCTCATCCCCTGCCCTTCTTCCCCCCATCCCCTTCCCTTCTTCCCCCCATCCCCTTCTTGTGATCGCAGTGCTGGTGCTGCTTGTAGTGCTGCTGTCGCTGCTGCTGGGAGGGGCAGGAGAGGGAAGGGGGCCAGAGGGGGCGGGACAGGCAGGGCGGGGAATATAGGAGGGCGGGACAAGCAGGCCTCTTATTTCCCCCCTGCTTCCCCTCATATCCACCCCTGCTTCGCCTTTTTGTCCCCTCTATTTCCCCTAGTTCCCCCTCTTCCCTATCTCCTCTATCTCCGCTCTTCTCATCTCTATCAGTTTGACGTTTTCCTTTTCCCCCCTCCCCGTCCCTCGTAATATCCCCCACTACCTGGCTATTGCAGTGACTACAGTGAAGCTTTTTCTGGTACTGGTACTTCAACTCGCTACAGCCCAACTTCCATGCCACGCTCGTAGCGTAACCAGTTCCCTCACGTTTTTTTTTTTTTCAAGGCCCTGAGAAAGGTTCTGTTATATTGCTCCCCCTTAACCTTTGCCTACAATAAAAATAACCTTTATGTCACTCTTAGTGTCAACGCATCTTAGAAGAATATCTTGCACTGAAAAAACAAAAGTACATAGAGCCTTGCAAAGCAGATCTCCAACAGTAATACAGTAACATGCTTGCATACAACACACACGAAACAGGTGGTGGTACAATGTAAAGCATCGACTGACGGCCAGGGACGTCGATAGCAGACGAAAATGGTCTGATGGTCTGCAAATAAGACTCAAGACAGGGTTTAAAATTTCATCTGAACTGTAAGATTTGCATTTTATTTTCATCTGAAATTTAAGACAAGCTTATACGGTTCGTCTGGTTCGACAGACAGCGCGTTTTTTTCCGTCTGTTACTGACAACCGTGCCCACTGGCCCACAGTCCCTATGTTCCACTGGCCCACGAGTCAACTGGCCCACTCGTCAACGCACTGTGGGTTGCGGGGCATTTATAGCGCATTTATAATTCAGTTGTGCCAGCTCAGAATGGCTGTAACTGCCACACGGCTCTGGCAACTTCTGACTCAGAAGTTGCCGAGGTGCAGCGCACGCGTACAAGAAGACGACCTTGCACGGTGGGGCGATGCTGCCAGCGCATACGTGCTGGCAGGTGGCCTGCCATCCACCGTGAGGCGTGGGTGGCACCAACGTTCTGCCACAGTCAACCAGAGGGGGCGCGGAGCACTGAAATGATGTGCTTCTTCTACCCCCGTCGCAGCTGAGTTCTCCAGCAGTCTTTGCCACCACACTAGCAGGAGCCTCAGCTCCTGGAGCACTCCCTCGTAAACGTTCTCGCCTGGTCATGGCGTCCGATGGGCGCCATGAAGCACCACCCACGGTTCCTAATACTACCTCTCCCGTTGATTCCATCGCTACCGAGAGGCGTACAGGCCTTGATTTCCTGACAGGGCCAAGCGTCATGGCCAAACCTTGCCCCGCACCTGCAAGTATCGATGTTCCTGTCATCCCTGAGGCGCCATATCCCTTCGAACCGGTCAACAACAGCGACGACACGTTGAATGCCTCTTCCCCTCCGCCCTCGCCGATCCCATCTTGCGTTGCCGCATGCTCTCCCGTTCGCACCACTTCGGTTCCGTTGTCATCGCCCGCTGATGTGTGTAAAAACACTCGTGCTCCATTCCTTCCTCCGCGTTTTCCAGGCTCAAAGAAGTACAAGCAGCGGAAGCTGTCTTTCGGTCGGCATGCCACCACCGCGCCACCTGCATCGGATGCTGAGGACAAAAGTGCCACGCGTGCAGCTCCTTCAACCGACAAAAAACCGCTGACTGTGGAAGAGCTCCAATTGAAGTCCAAGGAGCAGTGGTCACGGTTCTTTCCGTGGCTAATTATCTCAAAGAACAGCGAGGGACGCCCGTGCATGAAGTGTAAGGTTTGCATTGCCTACGGCGACCCCGACTACAAGTACGGAAGGAATGGCGAAGGCGGGATTGACATCCAGAAGCAGACTATGCGGAAGCACCAGCACAGCATCAAGCACGAAGCCGCGCTCGAGAGGAAGGAGCTACGCGAGGGGAAGAAACCAAAGCAGCCGTCGATTGCAGATTTTGCGAAAGATGATCCTGAGTCTGACCGCCTTTTTAAGTTGCTGTTAATCGCGCACTTCATCTGCAAGTCTGAAGCTCCGATCGCCCTCTTTGTTTCCCTCGTTCAGTTCATGGCAGAGATGGGGACGCCGCATCTCCCATTGAAGGATCACGGCACGTACATGAGCAAGTAAGTTGTGTTTTAGCTTCCGATTCATAAACATTGTCAGAGTTTTTAACTAACACGCTCTGTATGATGATCTGGCAGGTACGGTTTCAAGCAGCTCATGGAGACGATGGTCTCCTACCTGAAGGCGCAGCAACTGCGACACATCCGTGAGAGTCCGTTCCTTGGGATTCAACTTGATGAGAGCACCGACAGGCGGCGCGGGAAACATCTCATCGTGTACCTCACGTTTCTCAAGCACGGCGTTGTCTTCGCCAACTTGTCCGTCGACAAGTGTGACGCGGCGTCCCCCATGGCGGTCCTGCTGACTCACCTTGAAGGGAATGGAGTAGATCTCATGCGGTTCTCTGGCATCTCCACCGACGGCGCCAGCGTGATGACGGGAGGTAAAACCGGTTTGGTGGCGCGGCTGCGAACACGTGTACCACACTTGGTCTCATGTCACTGTATCGCGCACAGGTATGCGTTAATTTACAAAACCTGCCTTCACTGAAGTTTAGTTGCCATATGATT